TCGACTTGTGGGACGGCGTGTTGTTTTGATGGAAGAGCACTTTTTTGCGCGCCAATCTCGCTTCAAATGACTTCCAAACGTAAACTATGCGTCCTTTCTAGTTGAAATTTGGCCTGAAGGAGTTCGAAGAGTGGATCTTTCGAGATGTCGCGTCATCAAATGGTAGCGCCATTTCATGGAAATTTACCAAACTTATCAAATGACCCACGTATATATAGATTATCTCATTATAAGTATTTATTTACTTTCTCCATCCTTCCTTCTTCCAATCTCAGCGATATTAAATTATATAGAACGTGTCAGCAGTGTCCAACAATACCATCGCGTTGAAATGTTTACATTCGTTACTTTGATAGATTTAAAACCTTTACACGTCCGGGATTACATATAATCAATTGCGAAAAGGATCCGTATCAGAAATAATTAGGAAGCTGTAAAGGGAAAAATATGATATGTAAATAAATGTCTAAAATAAAAAATATCTTTGTATCTGCAATCGTTCTTTTTTCGCGGCATCGTGTTATGCGCGCATCACGCACGACCGTACCATCGCTCTTTGAAATAATAATAATAGTTATAATTCGGTAGAATAAAAATATTTCTGCATGAATAATTGTTGGATTTGGAATAAATGCTGAAAGAAAGATTACGTAAGAAGAAGATGGCGATGCATAAGAAACGTAAATATAAATGGTAAATATAGTGCATGGTGGGGACCGCGTTCGATGGTGAGGACCGGCGGTGGACCACGACCGGAGGCGGCGGCAAAGAATCGCGCTCGGCAGCCAATGATCCCGCATGACGTCATCACCGCGACGCACAACACAGATTTCTACACACTCCATTCCTCGCTAGGTAATTTCCCGCTATGTAATTTCCCGTACTCGGGACATCATATTCCTCCCTCGCCCCGTAACGTTATCTTTTCATCCAGTGACGTCGTGCACTGTTGCGTCATTCCCCCCCCTATCCCGTGACGTCATCCCGCCTAGTGACATTACTCTTCTCTCCCGTGGACCCTTCCTTAAGCCACAGGTACCTCCCCGCTCATCCCTCCTCCCGAATTAGAATCCGCCTATATATCCTATACTAACTGTACACTAATATTGTTAAAAATCTTCATTTGTAAAGTATAGATATTTATACTCAAGTAGCTTAACAGCCATCCTTCACATAATGTCAACAAAAAAGAATAATCGCTTATCATAGGGTTCCTTTAAATTGAGATTAATCGCGAACACAGGGTGTCAACAAGTCGCGATTATTCTTCGCAGAATCTTCCCTTATCATTCGTCACATTAACATAACTAGGCGGGTGTCAATCGCCAACACACAGCTCTTTCGTCTGAAGGCACTTTCGTTGTGATCCGACCACACTCGATCCGTGATTGAGAAATTCTGGCAATTTCACTTGCTGATTGTAACTAGACAATTCACTCATTGTCCACGTGCTCGCGCGTGACTGTAGTTTCATCGCGCCGTCATTTATTTGCAGAGTTCAGTGACACTGGACTGGAGTTGTGTGAGAGCCGCACAAATTCGTCGAGTGGGGAGGCGGGCGGGATGTTCGAAAGTCGAAAGAGGGATGACTATCGCACTTAAAATTACCGCGCTCTATACGAATCAGGGCAATCACTATGACATACGAGCGGAATTGATTCCATCCACCCCAATGAACGGTGATGGCGAGGCTTCTCAGAAACAATTGCCGCCGCATCATTAAACGAGCAAAGCAGCCAAATAATTTAAACTGTAAGCATGGCTTTTCTAGAAGGATTGAGTAAAAACGGAAATTATTATTTCGCCGCATAATCCTCCAGATCCTCCTAGAAAGGCTATTATCTATACATAAGCACGAACAAAGCGGGCTCTTGCTCTTTGTTCTCGTCTCGTATGTTAGCAGAAACCTGTCTCGCAATCGTGAATAAGTTGATTTTTGTCAATATTTCTTTAGCGTGATTTAACGCGCAATCAGTGATCCTTGTCTGTATCTGAAGATATTTAAATAAAAAGTATTGTCTGAATTACATTATTTGATCTCTTTCAGACGAACTAAATTGTGCTGTTAAATTTCTTCCCCTTTTTCGCTCCCTGTCAGTTCGACGTGAACAACTGTGAACTTCAAAAATAGATACTTTATACTTATTAGTGTAGTTGACATTCGCAATTAGTACATAGTACTTATTCGAAATCAAGCATGAAACTTCATTGCAACGATTTACTCCCTTTATACTTATGTATCAACAATGTACGCAGACAAAACAATGCAAATCTATTTTCATATAGCATAGCAGACGCAGTGCCTTATTAATATATTATTCATGTTAACATTGAACACTAAAATTAGCTGCTCTACAATAAAAATGAAATGAATAAAATTTTATTTTATTAGCGTAATAATTTCTTTATTCTTACTTAGTTTTTAATTATTCATAATATTTCGTACATTCCTTTATATTTTCAAAAGTATTTGATTTTAACAATTTCAACAACAGAGTCGTTATTGTTGATATTATTATTATTATTATTATTATTATTATTGTTATTATTAATACTATTTAAAAAACTTATTTCAATAGTCATTGCTGTACTGATACTGCACTACGAATTGTGTTGTATTTACCTTCGTCGCTATCACGCGCAGCCAACGCGGTATAAAACAAATATGAAATGCATATATAGAGATAATTTTATTCATATCTAAAAATTTTTCGGAACTAGATTTTAATACACATCGTTATTTTTAGTGTAAAATCTTCTTTCATTTTCGATATGTAAAAATTAAAAAATTTTTTAAAATAGGGATGGAGGTGGAAATAAACATTAAATAAATAATTAAAAAAAAATTGTTTATTGTAGTTATAAAGTAACTCTTAACGTTATTCAATTTTTATTCTAGAAATTTTTTTCTATCTCTCATAGTTTCGAAAATATTCGCTTTGAAAGAAAAAAACCGATCTTTTTCAAGGAAGGTTTCCATTTAAGGTGCAATTCAACCGGCCTAAAAAAAAATACGTATCTCTTATTTCTGTCCATAAAACAACATACTAAACCTCATTTAAATCAGAGAGGGATCTTTGATTGTGTTCACTTATAAGGTTAAAAGCTTCAAAAGAAAGATTTATATTTCTATTAAGTTGGACTCCAGCGCAAACCGAGTTCGGATATAGTAAAAAATTTAGTATCTGATATCTTGTTGCTAATTAATTGCTCTAGAGCGAATTTTGTTGCATCAACCGTTTAGCAATAAAAAAAAATGAGTGGGTCCAACATAATGGCAAGCTGGATTCTTCCATAAAAAAATATATAATATACAGAGCTGCAATATCAAAAAAAAAGTATACCAGATTTTGTTGCTTTTTTTGCTCCATACTGCAAAGAAATATCAAAAAAATTACATTATTAAACAAATATCGATAAATAATCAAAATTGCATTGTCACGCGTAGCAGCGTCATGATTAAAAGCGTCATGATTAAATCGAAAATGAATATATTTAGCATAGAAGGAATATTTTGGTATCTAAAACTTTCAAGCAAATTCTTTAAACAATCGTTGAGTGATTAAAGTGCTCAGCGCGAGCGCTAATACTGATAAACTAATTATTTTTCATGTGTCAGAGTTAGCAACAAAATCGAAAATGGATATATTTCGATAGTATATGTAACAAAGATCATTTTTTGGTATCAAAAACTTGCGAGCATCAAATTCTTTAAACAATCTTTGATTGAATAATGATTGGCGCTGATGTTGATAAACTAATTGTTTTTCGTGTGTCATAGTTAGTAACAAAATCGAAAATAGACATATTTTGATAGCATATACTACAAGGAACATTTTGGTACCATGTAAGCAATTAATTCTGTAGCTTTTGAAAAAGCAATAAAATCTGATATACTTGTTTTTTTGATATTATAATAGGTGTATAAGCTTGAATCCGCTGTTTCCTCATAGATGGCAGCATTAGTGAACGTACAAATCCTGTACACTACCCTGGACACACCACATACTTTTTTTAATGTGTTTGACATCTGTCAACATTAACCAGTGCACATCATCAGCAATTTCATACAACAACATACATTTTTTCTTTCGTAATCATGTCTAGCTTTTTGCTAAAAAAAAAGCATATGCGGGAAGCTTTGCTTTTCTGTTTCAATTTGAAGAAATCGGCTGCCAAATGCTTGTGGAGGCCTATGACGACAATGCTTTATCGGAAACAACGTGCAGAGATTGGTTTCACCGATTCAATGACGACAATTTTGACCTGAGTGACAAGAAGCATGAAAATCGGCCCAGGAAGGTTGAGGACTGTCAATTGCAGGCTCTTTTGGACGAAGACGATACCCAATCAAAAAGTGCTTGCCGAGCAATTGGGTGTTTCTCAGGCAGTCATTTCCATGCGGCTACATGGGGAAGGTTCAAAAGATCGGAAAATGGGTGCCGCATGAACTGAACGATAGGCAGATGGAGCAACGCCAAAACACATGCCAAATTCTGCTTGCCAGATAAAAAAGAAAGTCGTTCCTGCATCGGATTGTAACAATGAAAAGTGGATCTATTTTCAGAATCCTAAACGCAAGAAATCTTAGTTCATCCCGCCCAATCATCAACATTTCCTCAAGACCAAATCGCTTCGGACAGAAGACAATGCTGTGTGTTTGATGGGATCAGGAGGGTGTCATCTACTACGAGCTGTTAAAACCTGTTGAAACTGTTAATGCTCACCAATAATGATCAAATTGCACCGTGCTCTGCGTGAAAAAAGGCCGCATTATCGGAAAAGACATGACAAGCTGATTTTCCTCCACGACAACGCATCATCGCACACGTCAACAACTACTTGGTCAAAAACTACTTGGAGACACTCAACTGGGAAGTGCTACCCCATCCCGCTTACTCCAAACCTGGCACCTTCTGACTATCACCTATTTTCGTCGATGGGCCACGCGCTCGCTGAGCGGCACTTTGATTCTTACGAAGACCTCCGAAAATGACTTAATGAGTGGTTTGCCGAAAGATGAGGAATCTTTTTGGCATGGTATACACAAATTGCCCGAAAGATGGGAAAAATGTATAGTTAGCGAGGGCAAGTACTTTGAATAAATTTGTTTTTGCTTTTTAGGAAAAAAAAAATGTGTTTTTCTGATTAAAAAACAGCGGATTTAAGCTTATACATCTGATATTGCAACTCTGTATTTATTTTTTCTGTTAGATGGCATTAAAAAACGCCACGAACTTTTTCCCACACCTAATATTATTGGGGGGTATTTATTTTTTTATAGCTTGTTATTAAGTTGGACTCATTTCTTTTTTTTATTGCTAAACGGTTGAAACAACATAAATCGATCTAGAGCAACTAATTAGCAACAAAATAACATTAAATTTTTGGCTATGTCTCAATTCAATTTGCATTGGTGGGAGATCCAGCTTAATAGTAAGATTTATACCATATTCAAATGATGTATATACGAACGCTGAGCAAAGACTCGGAATAGTAAACAAAGCAGTAATTGTGTCTAACAGTAGATTCGATCTTCAAAGAGATGGCGTTGCAATATATTAGATAAGGACAGATGCGTTTGAGTGAGATACAATAATATATAATAGATATAAGAAATGAACGAAAGATGTCACTCTTATCAAATTTGGAATTTAAAGTCTGTACTGCCAACTTTAAATTCAGCCGTCGATCCGATATCCCCTTAACTTCCCTAACAGTTAATAAATAGTCGAAGAAAGGCTCGTAAAAATAATAGGCTACGAATATGCATTGAGTAGAAACCAGTAACACATTTAAAAATGAGAAGAAGTTTTTATGACTATTTATTAACTACTAGAGATAAGGAGGCCAATTTTTAAAGCAATCCCAACATTTTGTTTCAACCAAATTCTCTTTGTTTAAATGATATGCAAAAAATTAAACGTGTCGCTTATATCACATTTCTTATTTATAACGTTACGATTCAATATGACTGAAATAAGTACTCAGAAGCCTTAAAAAATAAAATTTCAAAGCATTATAAAAACTGCCATGTTATCTGATAGAAAATGTTTTCTAGTATATTTATATTCTCAAAATTTTATTTTTTAGCTTTTGTTTAAAAAACATAGTCCAAAATCGAAGTTTAACGGTTTCGATTCGTCTCTACTGTAGCATTGATAATTTTTTTATTTTGATTCAGAAGTAATCTTAAAAATGCGACTTAAACTAGAATACTTCTTTAAAGTAATTTTTTTTTCTAGATGGCAAAAGTTTCACAGACATCTCCCAATTGATGACAGTGCATGCATCATTATGTGACACAGTGATGCTCATAAACACTGCTTATGGTGTTGTTGCGCTTATGATTACAATCACCTGCCTAATACATTTAATCATTACACCGTATTTTTTAATAATGGAAGCTGATGGTAGACGTGAACCATTGTTCCTTGCGGTACAAGGATTATGGTGCATCTTTCATATTTGGAGATTATTCATGATCGTACAGCCTACGTACGCTGCTACAACACAGGTCAGTTCATAATTAAAATAAATAAATAAATCGATTAAAATTACAATTTGTCACAGTTAAAAATAATTAAAAATACTACAGTTAAAAACGAAATTTCATAGTTTAAAAATTGACAGATATTTCCTATTTTCTGAAAGGAAAATAATTTGAAAATTATTTTATAAATAAGATTAATAACGGATTACTAATAATTTAAATAAATACAAGATAAAAACGGACACATAATAAGGAGATAGGCATGAAAATTACTGCGCAGGATCAATAAATTAATAGAATAAGCTAACTAAAAATAACGTTGAAATAACGAATTAGTTATTATATATACATTGGTTATTGCGAACAGTATTACTTAAGCTTTTGTGACCGATGAAAACGATCGCACGGAATGTTGGAGATCCGGATTAGATCCTCGAACAAGTAATATTTTTCGCAATACGTATTCTTTACAGAGATTTTAAGATTTCTGATTCAATTTGGAGGATCATTAATATTTTAGATTGATTGCGTTGAAAGTCCAATTGTAATTGGCATATACTTGTGAGGTAAATTCACTTAAAGAATATGTATATATCAATTAGTTTGATATTTAACTTTGACCGAAAGTTGCCGAAAGTGGCGTTTCTCGTAATTAAGCGATGTACTTACATAAATAGTCTCGATTCTGATCTAATTATTATTAATGTTTTACATGCTATTTATCAAAAAATAAATAGTCTAAAGAGTATAGCGGAATAAGCATGTGAAATCTGTCCCGCAATTGAGTTCAAATTGATGTCAGTAGACCTATGAGATGTAAAACTCTCTCAAAAGTTAATCTTGAAATTGCATTTTTGTGGGAGTTATGGAGGGGGAAAGCAAACTAAAAATAGTGATTTCTCTCGAAAATGGCTGGATCGATTTTAATGAAAATAAAAAAATATATGCTGTAAACATCAACATAGTTAAACATAGAAGAGTAATTTTAACAAAATTTTTTGTAATTTTTGTGATAAATAGAAAACCAATAAAAAAATTTTTAAATATTTTATGAATTTTTTATGATAAAAATATGTATTTTAGTAACTACTTTTATATTTTCATGAAAATATTTTGAAATTCTCTACTTTGACATATAATTTTTTTTTAAATCGATCAAAGTGATGGAAACATAGTTACAAATAACAATCATTCGCATACACTGCGTCGATTGAATTGGTCGCGATGCATAGCGGTCATCGTGAAACTTATTAATCATTATATCGATATTTGCTCGATCGTCAACTGTTGTAAGTTGAGCACCGAGTTCTGGATCACTATGTGTTAGTGCATATATGTATATGCGATGCGTGCATGCGCGCACTTTCTCTTTCCCACCCATTATAGAATGCATTTCTGTCTGTCCCGTTGCAGTCCTATTATTCACGTTCTCTCTTTCTCCTGTTGCGCTCTCTTTTTCTTTTAAGATTTAATTTTATATATTATTAAATAGATATGATATGACTTTTTATAAAATATGACTTAGCAATTATAATAATATTTTTAGAAATGTAATACAAAAATGCGCTTTCTTATCTATTAATTTGGAGTTGAGAAAAAAAAAGATAATAAGAAAGAATGGCAAATAGAAATGAATCACTTTGAAGACTGAGTAATATATTTAATACATACATTTATTTTTCATGTAACGCAGCGTATACAATATTATCTACGCGTAAGCTATTAGTTCACATTCTTTATAGAATTTTTATTATAAACTTTGTGTAAAGCATTTGCAGCATCAATCTTGAAACGCATTATGTATGAAACTACAGCAGTATTATAAAGTTATGTATTATAATTGTGTGTTTCATACACATTCCCTTGAAAAACGATATTCACTCATTAGTTGTTGATCAAACGGATGCTCACTTACTTATAATCATTGGCGACAAGTATTGCTGAAATCGGCACGCTTGATTTATGCGAAAACTACAAAATTATGTTTCTATATATACAACAGAGTAATCTAATCGCAAAACGTATTGTGATATGTCGATTTTCCATAGAAAAAAATTTGTATATTACACTTATGCAAAGTCATATCTAACATGGTCTTCGTCACAACAGCATCATATCATATATCGATGTCTCACTGAGGAGAACTTACACACTTTTATTAGGTGTACAACTTTGCTTCCGCCGTTTTTTTATAGATGGCTTTAGTGATAAGTGGTGGTTGAAATAAATAGATCATAGACGTCATACAATAAACTTCTGGGCATCTGTCAACACAACCCCATTAGTTTCGATTTGTGTCTGCATCATAAAATTATTCTCGATTGAAAATGTCAGTTTACGAGCCAAATTCTCGTTATTTGCGGGAGGTTTTAATTTTTTGCTTCAATATGAAGAAATCTGCGGCTGAGGCTCATCGAATGCTCTCAAATACTTATGGTGAGGCCGCTATTAGTGAAAGAACGTGTCGTGAGTGGTTTCAAGAAAGGTGATTTTGACGTCGAAGACCAGCATAGCGATGGAAGAGAGAAGGTTTTCGAAGATGCAGAATTGGAGGCATTACTTGAGCAAGACTCGTGTCAAAATCAAGAAGAATTGGCACGATCATTGGGAGTGACTCAACAAGCCATTTCAAAATGCCTCAAAGCAATGGGAATGATTCAGAAGCAAGGAAATTGGGTACCGTACGAATTGAAGCCAAGAGATGTTAAACGGCGTTTGTTTGCTTGTGAACAACTGCTTGAAAGGCAAAGACGGAAGGGATTTCTGCATCGCATTGTGACTGGGGATGAAAAATGGGTTCATTATGAAAATCCCAAGCGCAGAAAATCATGGGGAATTCCCGGCCATGCTTCCACGTCGACGGCCAAACCGAATATTCACGGCTCCAAGGTCATGCTCTGTATTTGGTGGGACCAGCTCGGCGTAGTGTATTATGAACTGTTAAAACCGACTGAAACAATCACAGGCGATCGGTATCGAACGCAATTGATGCGTTTGAGCCGAGCATTGAAAGACAAACGGCCGCAATACAACGAGAGACACGATAAAGTGATTTTGCAGCATGACAATGCTCGACCTCATGTTGCGAAAGTGGTCAAGATATACTTGGAAACGTTGAAATGGGAAGTATAATACCCCAGCCGCCGTATTCTCCAGATGTTGCTCCCTCTGACTATCACTTGTTTTGATCAATGGCACACGGCCTGGCTGACCAGCATTTCCGGTCTTATGAAGAAGTAAAAAATTGGATCGATTCCTCAAAAGATGACCAGTTTTTTCGACGCAGGATTCGTACGCTAAAGATGGGAGAAAGTAATGGCCAGCGATGGACAATACTTTGAATCATAAATGTATAACCAGTTTTTTACAATAAAGCCTCGAATTTCGGAAAAAAACGGCGGAAGCAAAGTTGTACACCTTACAAATGTTTTATTAAAAATACATAAATACTAAAAAATGAATTTATAATAATATTTTATAATGCCTCCATGATAGTGTATCGGTAGAATTTGGTACAATGTATTGTTTATCGTCATATGGACTTAGAGCGATTTTTGTTTTAAATACTATGTACACATCATGCAATTTAGATTTTTTATTTACTAACGGAATGTTGTAAGCATTATAATCGATCATGTAATCGCTAGTGTCGAATCTATTAATATTTCATATTAATATATATTAATATATACAATATTTATATATATTACTATATATATAAATATATATATTAATATATATTAATATGTAAATTTATATTAATATATATTTCGTTTCATAATATCGTATATGTCGTCGCATTTGATATGATAAATTAGACTGTCCGTATTAGTATACATAACTTTACAATTTTCGCGAAATAGCGGTGCTATGTACTCATGATAAAATTCGTACAAACACTTGGATATATTGAGGATACATATATCCACGTATATCGGTTTATCGAATTTCACCTCAAGTTTCCGCATTTCTATCGCGATCAGGTTCTCGGAAAAAACGCTACGATTATGAAAATTCGGTTCCGCAATCATTGCCTTATAGCGAACGATATTAGTATATCGTTCGTCCCAACGCGTCACCGAGTCGCACGTCAACATGGTTGCGCATATTCTCCATGGTTTTACTGAAAACCGCGTTGTTCATTAGTTTGTATAAATTTTTCTTGAATTCGTTGTTCGCGCGAATTCTGAAATTTATATTGAGTTCAATATAATTGCGAAGCCATAGAGATTGGGTGAATTGTAATATGCGATGGATTTTTGTAATGTGAAGACTGTGATGAGTACATTGCTGCAGATTGCAATAATATATGATGTAACGCTTATTATCATACAATGTCGCAAAGAGCTTGTCTTCTCGCTTACTAGGTGATTTCTCCCGCATCGAACAAAACGGTAGATTGGAATGCGCATCATGAAGATGTTGCTAATACTCGTCGTCGAAATTCAGCGTATGGCGATCGCTGATACATTGCTCACTGCTGACCCAGCTGTATAAGTTATTAACATCAAGGTACATCATATATATTGGTTTCGATAGATCGTACGACTGCATGTATTTATTACTAACCTGTGCACTTGTTCGAATATTGACTAAGACCACCACGTTCGATAAATAGAATATCGACATCCATATCGACATCAGTAAGAAGTTCGAAATTGCAAGTATATTTCAACAATCTCGTCCCACGTAAAACTTGGTAGTGTATAATAATACGCGGGATCGAGTCCATAATTAATAATGCAACTATCTCGAAAATTTTCAAAAATATATCAACAATAATACATCTGTTTTTAAGTATAGGTCGCTATATTCACCGAGCTTTGAAAGGCGAGCCGCTACCATATATTCACGGCGTGCGCGTAATCGTTCTCAGATACCATCAGTCAGCGAGCTATAAAATAATTCGCACGATGATAACTCGGTTTCCTCTAACTTTTTGACGCAGTCAGTGTATATACTTATACGAAAATATACCTTTCCGTGTGAGAAAATCGAAATTCTTCGCGCTGAGATTAAAAAAT